AACCAGGCAGAGAAAGACAAATATCACATGATCTCACTTATATGTGGGATCTAATGAACAAAATAAACTGACGAAATAAATGGATCCAAAGGCTTTAAATACATGGAACAGACTGACATCTCAGAGGGGAAAGATGTAGGTGGGACTGGAAGAGATTAGCCAAAGAACATATATGCATATATGCATAACTCACAGACACAGACAATAATGTGGTGAAGGCCTAGGAGGAGGGAGACGGAGATTGGGGAGGGGAGGAAAACAAAGGGGGAAGATATGGAGGTCATCTGTAATAGTCTCAACAGTTAAAAAATATTATCTTTTAAAAACTAAATTAGAGGACATCTTCAAGTTTCTTCAAGCCTAATGTTGCTATACTCATTGGATTAAAAAAAGAAAAAACAAAATAAGCAAGATTTTTACAAATATGCTTAGCTGAATGGTGTCCCTGATGTTCTATCAGTACTATACAATACTCCACTAAAACATATATAATAATAGCTATTTGTTAACAAACTGGAACTTGAAGCATAGCTTCGGAGAACAAAATTAAGAGTACATCAGAGTGCTAAAGCTGTCACTTCAAGTACAGATTAAGTTGAGTGCACATATTCTAAAGAAATGATTACAAGAGGTTGAGACATAAATAAAGAAAACTGGACGTTACAATAGGAGCTGAAATCCGAGTTGCTGGTGTCCTCAAACTAGTTAATCCTGGGGCCCAACATATTGCTAAACTTCATTTGTGTGGCTGTGTGCTCCAAAACATGGGGATGGGGTGGGGTAGGGAGAGGTGGAGGTGTAGGAGGAAGGTGAACAAATAAAAACAGTCAAATCTGGTGATTTAAAGTTACAAGAATAATTGGGTGCACAAACATCAGTTTTCCATCTTTTCAGGAGTGGGAAAATATTCTTAAATGAGCTTCACCCCAGATAATGGCAGTTTCTCCTGGCCGCTGGGCAGCAGGGAGGGGCCTTCCCTATCAGAGCTTCTTCACAAACTTGACTTTGAGAGTGACACCCCACCAACATCAGATACCCTATCAACACTTTGATCAATGGAGCAACAAACACCACAGCCAAGGCAACCCCTGGGCTCCTCTCTTTTCTATTGATGCATTTCTCTGAATGGGATTCAGGAAGGTCATGCCTCACAGACAATTGTGTAGTCAGTGCAAAGGAAAAAATTCTGTATGGGAACACCAAAGGAAGTGAGTAACGGCTAGGAAAAGGTCTCCTCAATCAGCCATGTCGGCTACAGGTAACAATTATTCTATAACTTAGTATTTTCCACTTACAAATTTCCTTGGTACTTAGATCATGAGGACTATGTACATAAACGAGAAATACAAAACATAAATGTACTCCAAGGGAGAGGACTAGATTAACTTTAATGCTCTCCTACTGCCTGGTTGGTGCCTCTCTAGGAAGGCTCAGGTTGCATCACTTGGACTTATCTGACTGACAGCTTCATTTGGGATCCTATGAGCACTAACTGAGGAGGTCTGCATAAAGCACAAAGTAATAACACAATAAATGTTAGCTGTATTATTACTATCGTTTACTCCACGCTGAGGCTCAGCAGACACATCACACACACTACAAAAGAGCAACGAGAAGTGGGCAGGGAAAAGGACCGGAAAAAAGAACACGGATAGTGTTTTGCTTATTTTAATAAGTGCAAACAGTGGGATTCCTCTGCTGGTCCGAGATCTTTGCTGCAATAGTCTGGGCTTACATGTTGAAGCCAAATATCTTCTACAGACCAAATTTTCAAAATAATGATGTTTATAAAAACATCAGCCAAACACAATTAAAATTTACATATAATGTTGACAGTGTACTGTTTTCCCTAGAGACTTAGCCACAATGAAGTCAGAAATGCATTAAACAGAAGAATGGAAAATATGTGGTGACAAAGAGGTTAGAGTGAGAACCAGGCCAAGAGCCTATACCCTGCTGCTGGGAGATAAATTACACCTGGCATTGATGTACTTCTGCAAAAGGGCTGACTCACTTTAAGGTTCTGATTAGGAAAAATGAGTTAGTGCACTAATTGCAGTGAATCAATTTATATATAAAAATTATAAGATAATTACTTAACTATATTTTCTACAGTGATAAATGTATAGATATTAAATATTTTAATATACAGTTATACTTTAGGGGGTTTAATATCAGCTTCAAATGATGTTACCATAGTCAAAATTTGCTGTATATTATCATATTGTGACAAATGACCTGTTTGGGCTGAAAGTTCTAAGTTGTGTGGCCCAAGAAAATACAGCAGGCATTCTTTCACTGAGCCAACCTCCTGGATTAAATATTGCCCCGGGCTTCCTCTGTAAACCACGATTATGAATACCCAATGGCACTAGCAAGCAATCCATAGCACCACACACATGGGATTTCTGCTCCCACTAGCTGGACAAAGAGTCTGCTGTGTCTTCCAAACCTGTTTATGCCAGTTGACTTGTTACTGTAATTATGAAATTTAATTAAATATTATGAAAGCTTATGGAATATGAGCACAAAAAATAAATCTCATTCCTACTAAAAACTAAGTTGAAGGTCTTGGAAAGACTTAATAAAGACAAGTCCCTAAAAAAAAAAAAAAAAAGCTTTTGGATTAGATGTGGGGGAGATGGCTATAAAAAATGAGAAGAAAATATGAAACCTAAGATTTTATAATATTCAGATTGCTTTGATAGTGCCTGTGTTTGTGCTCTTGTGGTTTATACTATTAATACAAACATAGACGTCAAAACAGAATAGCTGTCAAAGAAAATCCCTTGGACTCACAAGCGTTTGGCAAATATACTTTTATATATTTTAATGAAAATAAAATATTTTGAATATGTACACTTTTTAAAGATTTCCTATTTAACAGGTATTTTCAATTACTAATTCTAATTATGTTGGGTAAGAGGTACTTTTCCATGCTTCAAATTAGAAAATATTTTGGATTGGTGCCTTTTAAATTTATGAAGTGTTATGAGCTAAACTGGATTACTCTGAAATATAGGCATTCAAATTTTTATCCCAAACTTTGGAGAGAAAAATCCTTTAAACAAATTTCTACCAGATTTAAACATAAAAATACACTCCTTCCTTTTAGAGTAATACAGTAGAGAGCTGAGCCCAGCGGTTAAGAACATGACTCTGGTCAGACTCAAAGGTGGAATCCTGATCTAACATTACAGCTAAACCACTAATGTCACTTAAGCCATGTTCTCATCTGGAAAATGTCACCAATAGCGGCCCCTACCGCAGTGGGCAGAGAGGTTGAAATGAGAATATGCATGTCATATCAAAAGTTCCTGGTACATAATAAGTGCTTGAAAATGTTCAGTATTACTGTTACCATATTGCCTAATGGAGAAAAAGTACCTACTACTACATAAAAAAGATTATAACTAATATGTTCTTTCTTGTGTTGGATCTGAAGTGTCAATTTTCAGCAAGATGGCCTTCACCCACAGACAGCTCAGAAACACCTGTGAAAATTTTCCCAGGCACAACGGATCAGGCATTCTCAGCTGGGTGCAATAGTACTACCTAAGGAGTATTTGGCAATGCTTGGAGACATTTTAGGTTGTCACAACTGGGGAAGGGGGAAGGGAAACACATTGGCATCTAGGGCATAGAGGCCTGGGGTGCTGCTGAACATTCTACAATGCATAGGATAGCTCCCTCCAAGGAAGTATCTGGTCCCAAATGCCAAGATGGAACACTGAGAAACGCTACAGCTTAAAGGACAGTATAAGAAAAAGTGATTTCTAAAATCTACTTCAGGAAATTATCCCAAGAGAATAAAAGTTGCCTAAAAATGAAATTGGGATCTTCATTATCATATTCATTCCAGAAGCATTGCCATGAATATTTAGGAGACATATGTTCTTGTAACAAGATAAGATTCTCCTGGTCAATAGGAGACCCTCTGAAATAGGGTCTTATCATGTAATAACCTTAGGGTAAGTTTTATTCTAAAGCCATAATGAATACCAGAAATGCAATGTCATTTAGAAGAATTAGTCTAAATAAGATTTAAAAAACCCCAAAATGGTAATGGGAAATCAAAACATTGCTGTAGTCATCTGCATACAAGGCCTTTCAACCCGGCTGCAGAGGTTTCTGACCACAGGTGCATGTCCCTCCCTGGCCAGCATCCTGTTTCCCAGCTTGGGTGCTTATATGACAAACTCACTCATCAATTAATAATGCTGCTCAAAAACACTATTAGAGAGCTCTTATGAGTTCATATAAACTACCAACTTTTTAACAAATCACAGGGCCTTTCTTAAAAGTCTGACATAAAATGTTACACACGCTATAATCCATCAATATATGTATATATTTCCCCCCAAGAACAAAAAAAGACTAGAAAGGAAGTCACTAACATGTTGAGGGTACTTATCTCTTCAGTGCTTTTTTTATTCAAATACAGAAGATCTAAATTTGATTCCTGGCTCTGAAACTTATTGGCTCTGTGACTTTTGTCAAATAATGTAATTAACTCCCACTAAAATGCCTGTGAAACAAAGAGAAATGTATTACAATCCCCATTAACTGATGAGAACATTGAGGTGGGAAAGTAATGGTCCTGCACTAATTGCAAAAGTGCTAAATTAATGAAAGGCAGCATTAAGATGGTTTTTGTAACCCTTAATATAAAGCTATATTTAAAACATTTTCAACGTTAACATTTATCTGTAAAGGATACACAAGTACTCATACACAGAGATTATATACCTCATTCACTAAATCAGATGTTTTGTTTGTTTTTAAAATGAGTATTTAATATATGACATTTTAATACCTTAAAGTAATTCATAAAAATGCAAATAGAAATACATTACAAAGAGAAACACATCACAGCAAATACCTATTTAACTATTTTACCAACAAGAAAAAACAAGGAATACATAAAAATCTTACGTCATACAACTTAAAAAAACAAACAAAACAACAAATAGTACTCTCTGTCAGAAAGAACTACTCACCCTTCTGATAGAAGAATTTCCTGTAATAGTAGGCGCCGAGGTCCACGTGTTCCACGATGTACCGTTTCACGCGGTCCAGGTGCAACACCAGGTTCTCCTTGGGCACTTCAAGCACTGCCACTCCTGCATTTGTGCAATGGGAGCTGAGTGCAGACTCAAAGGAGGCACTTTCACACCCACTAAAGGAGCCAGAGTTTGACTTCGACAGGCTGATTTTCCTTTCCCCTTCTCCACCTATCTCATTCCGAAAATACGGACAGCTCATGACAAGCTCATTGCTTTTATCGTCTCCCTGGTCCATGCCGAGGCTTCCTTTGGAATTCAGGTCTTCCGTGCTGCCCATTGGGGAGTTAAAACTGGCGGAGTGGGACAGAGGTCCTGAAGCCAAGGATGCTACAGCAGCTGCTGAAGCCCCCGTGGTGGTGTTTCTCCTCTTAATAACGTTGTGCCTATTCATGATCGCCTCGTTTAAGTCAAATAATATACTCTGGACATCGTAGTGGGCAAAGCACTTTGGACATGTCCAAGGTCTGACGGAGTCTTCCGACCGGTTATCTTCAAGATCCGATGATTTCCCGAGTTCATCACCTTTGGCATTGCGTAATTTACGAAAAATGGATGAGTCTCCAGTTTCAGACTTGGACCGCCGCTTGAGTGGTTTTTCCCTTTCCTTGAAGAGCCTGAGATTGTCTCTTTGCGTGATGGGCCCATCTATGACATCCAAAGAGAAACCAGAACCCTTGCCCCCACTAGCGATGAGAAAGTCACTGAGCTTAGTTGGAGTTGGACCTCGGTCGGATTTGTCCTCTTTGTAGCCCTTTAACAAGTCAAAGAAGCTCTCTCCAGACGTTCCCTGCTTGTCGATTGAAGAGGTGCTGCCATACTCCCTGTGCAGGGAGGGCCCAGTCTTGTAGGTGGGCGAGATACATTCATCGAAGCTATCCACGTCAAGTTCACTTATGGTGATGTCGCTGTTGCTCCGCTGCCGGATCCTGCGGAGCGCCTTCCTGGGGGAGCTGGGGTAGGCTTCAGGCATGAGGAATCTGGAGTCCATGCTCTCCAACGGTCTCGTCTTGCTTTTCAGCGTGTTCTGTATGCTTTTCAGCATGGCTGAGTCACTGGAATTGAGGCTAACAGAACTTCCCTGACTCACGGGACTGCTTTTGGAGGACATGCTCTCAAGGCAACTTGAGGTTTCTATTTCCTGACTTGAACGGCTAGATTCTTTGACGTTTTCCTTCCGCGGGGGCCAATCTGCGATCCTAGCCCTGACCCCCATCTTTGGGACCCCGGGGGTCGAGGTGATGTGGTGAGGACCTTCGCTTCGGGGGGGCCCTACCGGAGCCATGACGGAGGATCCCAGGCTGCCGTTTTGGGACCGGAAGCGCCGCATGTAGAAGTCGTCAGTGTGGACTTTGGGAGGGCCATCTGTGCCCACCACCGAGGCCCTGTCCGTGGCAAGAGGCCTCTCTGTCTGCGACCGTTTCAAGCTGGTCATGATGGGAAAGCGATCAGACCTAAATCCCTGCGGAAAGGACCACCATCTCCAGCTTTAAATGTGCACTTCCCTTTTGGAGAACGGTTTCCAGCAAATACAGCAGTTGCATAAGATCTTACTCTTTTTCATTTAAAAGGTTAAATGATGCCTTATTTTCAAGCTTCTGAAAATCCAGATCTTCAGAACATTATAATCCGCAATTGTTCCTTTGCTTCACTTTAATAGATGGCTTTCTTTCAGAAAAAACTGAATGGAACTTGTATTACTGGGACTCTGTGGTTGCTATAATCCCATGCTTTCTCTAAAAGAGAAGAACAATTGCCATTAGCATTTGATAAACACATCTAAAAATAAATATGCAATTGCCAAAACCAGACACATGAAAAGAAGAGACTCCATCATGAATGTAGTTTGCAGCTCACAACCCAATATTTTATCAAAGCAGGTTTGAAAGAAAGCGAAATCCACCATATATATATATATCACTATTAATACTTCAGCTTAATTGAACTATTTCATAGAACTGGGAGTGAGGAGATCTCATTCCAGGACACTAAGGCTCCAACTCCCAGGGCAGACCAATTACAGACTCTAACGACCTCCAATAATGCAGAATATCACCAGCAACTGCGCTGACCAAAAGTTTTGAGACATAACCCACAGAGCTCAGTACTTTGAACAATGCATAGTCTGTTTTTTAATGAGACTAAAAATTAAAAAGTCATTTATTTAGTATGTAGCAACTCACTTTTCAACACCTTACATCTCTCAAAGTCCTAGCTTGTCTTTTGTTTTGTTTCTTTTACAAAGGCTTAACATAACTGGCAAGAGCAAATACAGCAGAGAGAAAATAAACAGCGTTTTCCGAGAGCCACTCTATCCAGCACGCTTCTGTATTTTCCTCTACTTTATCACTTACCCCAAAGAGAAACATTTCAGAACGAACCCGGCATTTGCCACCGCCTCTTCCCAAGCTCTCTCCAGTTTCATCTATTCCTAAAGCTGGAACTAGTTCGCTAATTAACAAAATGTCTGCATTTCCTTAGGCACTGCAACCCACCCCACCCTTCGGCGCTCATGTATGAAGAAAGCAGAAACTAGACCCCTGCCATAGCGAGACCTCTGCGCACTCCCGAGAGAGGCCAAGAGCGGTCAGCATCCTTCCAGGTGAGGGCCTGGAAGACCAACTTGCTCGGTGCACAGCCGTCAGGAGGGAGAGAGAACAGAATCCTGCGCGGCGGCGTGCATCCCGGAAATAAAGGCAGAGGACCCTTTCCCAAGCTCCGCAGGCGACACAAGGGGTGGCCGTTAAATTCCTGCCAAATCCGTGTTGGGGAGATGCTGCTGACCCAGCACTGCACTGACAGGGCTGCATTGTCTACAAATCACGCCGACACCCTGAGGATGGGCCTCGCTCCCCGCTCCACGCAGCGGTAACAAGCACTTACTTCCAGGATAATTAAGCATCTTGCTTGTCGGCTTCCTGCCTGCGAGGCAGCCGCTTTAATTCCCCTTGCGGTACGCAGCAGCGCTTTAGAAGGCTCGCTGCTATTTAAAGGCTGGAACATTTGGGGTGTTTCAAAAACTGCTCGCTGCCTGCAGAATGCGGGGCCAGCCAGCTCCAGCTGGGCTTGGGGGCTGGGCAGCAGGTCAGATAAATGCCAATTGTTCTCACCCCCTTCCCTCCTCTCCCCCACCTTTTGTGAAGGGATAATGTTCTGCGCGGCCACCTAATTATACCTGGCTTCTGCGCCTTCTGGAGAGTTCTGCTGTCAGATTGCTCTGATTACCTCTCCGTCTCAGAACTTTACAGGCTCCCACTGAACGGTAAGCCTTCAAGTGGAGGAACGTGCTAACTGTTGCGTCCAAAGGCAGCACGTGTGGCCGCGGCGCGGCGTGGAGAAGTGCCCCTCGCAGAATGGAAGGGAGCCAGGCAACGGAGCCAAGTGCAAAGCAAGCACCAGTCCATCTCCAAAGGGAAACTCCCCTGACAATCCAAACCAGAGCTTAGGAGCTATTTTTTAACTAGGAAAAAAAAAATGCTGTTTATTTCAATGAAATACCTTTCAGAGAAAGACTGCACTGGCAGAAAGAATAATTCTAAGTAGGTTCTTATAAAAACCAGATGCTTTCAACATTGCGCACAATCTCACGGAAATCAAGGTAAATCATCTATTATTGCCTGATCTTCCACTCTCAAAAAGGTCAACACACCAATCCCACCATGATAAAAACTCATTCTAACTCATTCAGAGCATTTCCCGTAGAAAACAGTTTGTTGCAAGACTGGCTTTTTTAAGGCGATGTGAAGTTACACCCATGGTAGGAGGACACTAAGAGCCAGAACTAAAACACAACCAACTGAACTGACGTGGACATGCCCAACCTTGGCCATTACTGCGATGGTCCTTCCTTCAGAGCATCTCTCTTGCTTGCAACCTATATGTTTAATGGATTTTTAAAAATCTCATTTTAAACATAAAAATTCCTTCACAATTTAAAAGAAATGCCAAGCCTCCTATTAGATCTTTATTATAACAACTCAATTATTTTTTAATTTCAAAATATAGATGGGCACATGGCAGGAGGGGGGAGAGTGCCCACAGTTTAATGACTTGTCAAAGCTAAAGAGGTTCAAGACAGACGACTAAGTTAAATGGCAATTTTTTTCTTTCTTTCCTATTTTATCTCTATCCTTCTCTCCCTTTCCCCACTCTTATTTATATCATCATACTCATTTTGGTGCAATATAAATTTTGGATACTGACTAGCATATTAGAAATATATATGCTGTGGATTTATTAAACTACTAGTAAAAAATACGGTATCTATGTAATACAGGCATACCTCAGAGATACTACAGCTTCACCCCAGACCACTGCCACAAACTGAGTATCGCAACACAGCCAGCTAGAATCTTTTTACTGGGGGCGGGACTTGCCTTTAATTTATAAAAAGCACAGTATCTGTGAAGCACAGTAAAGCAAAGTGCAATAAAATGAGGTATGGTGGCAAATCAATAACACCTAAAACCTATTCCTTACAGTTGATGGAAATAGGAAGCATTATGCTGACAAGTATTAGTAATGATCTTGACTATCAGCAAACCTGCCTAACCATCACTAAATGTGGCAAAACGCAACAGAATTAAACAATAATAAGCAATAAAACAATAAAGAGCAATACTAATTTATAGTATGTCATCTCCATCTGTTGAAAGAGCAGGCTCTATAAAAAATTTCCTGTTACCTGTTTGATTTTACAGCTCTAGGTACTATAATATTTGAGTCCATGAAATACCAATTCCATGGGACTGAGTTATAATACCAATTCCACTTTTAGTTCAGTGAACTGTTGGAAACACGATCAGAAAATGAGAACATCCACTCAAATTCTGCTAGTGGAAAGTCGTTTCATCGCTCCAAGTCTATCACAACATAACCTTCCATCCTGCATTCTCTTCTGAGCATGGACCACACCGGGTCCTGGGGATGTCTGAGAAAGCAGTCCCTCCCCTGCAAGGAAAGCCCCTGGTGTCAACAATCCTGTCCTTCTAACTTAGAGACCTGCACACCTTGCTGCCTCCCTCTTTCCTGAAACTCTTCTCTAGCCTTCCAGGACACCCAGGCTCTTCATTTTCTCTTGCCTCCTGCTCACTCAGTATCGCTCACTCAGTATTTTGCTCACTCGGTATCGCTGAGAGGCTCCATAAAAGCTGATGATTCTTCTCCTACCACTCTTTATATTTCTGAAGCGATTGTAAAGGGCATAGTATTAGGATGTATGTGAGCCCTGAGCACGTTCGGATGTGACAGCAGGCCTAGGGGCACTGGAGTCAACATGTTTCTCTGGAAAGCAGGTGTTCACTTGGTTGCATCACAGCTGTCCGTGCAACTTAATGAAAACAGAATAAGGAAACCGCCTGGGAAGATAGCTGCATGGTAGCCAGTACTGGCTGGCGATGTTCCTATCGTCAGCTTTCAATCTCGTCTCTTTACAGTTACCTCCAAAGCTCTACTCATGATCTTCTCCCCCAAACTCCAGATAAAATATATGCAAGTGCTCATTTGATATCTTCCTTATTTATCTATTTTCTACAATTTACTAACAAGGAAAATGTGAAAAAATCATTTTCCCCCCAGAAATGAATAGGTGGTTAAGGAAGTGAGAACAATAAATAATTCAAGGAACCAAATGAAAAGAACAACCTGGGAAACATTCCTTGTGCCAAGGGCATAAAGAACAGTTTAAAGGTTATATAAGATGTGGGAATGAGAAACAAAACAAAACAACAACTACAGTTTCTTTCCTGAAATAATCTGTAATACAATGTGGCATATTCACCAAAAAGATGTAGCATTCCTCATGAACTACTTCCACATTTCACATGATGTTTTGTTAGATTCCTTAACTGGCAGAACTTTAAATACAGGGCCAACTCTAACTTTTGGGGACAAAGGGGGGATGGGGAGGTTAATGATAACTATCAAAATGCTCCAATAATTCAGATCTATACACTCTTAATTAGAGTCTTTACAAAAACAAGAGTGTAAATCGTTTATGATGTTGAATACATAGATTTAGAACATCCCTAAGTATTCTTACTTTAGAATATAACAGAAAACTTCATTTTAAAACAGAAATTTAACTTCATAGTGTTTGAACATTAGATTAGCTAAGATAACCAAATAAGGCAAACTATTTTCTTTATATCCCGTTTTGGTTTTCCTGGATTTCACTCACCTTTCATAAAAGTAACTTCTCATACACAGGGATGTCTCACTCTCTCAAGTTAGCCTGAAACACATACAAAAGCCTCAGTGCAATGTCCTGGGTAATTTAAGCTTTATGAAGCAGCACCTAACTATTTAAACCGGAATTTCCCCTCCCACAAAAAGCAGGAGTTGATAAATCATCTAGCTGGAAAAAACGGAGTTGATAAATCTAGTTCCCGCTCTCCAAATGTTCACTATCTAAAAAGACAACACTGGTTTGAAAGC